CCCCTAGGCGTTTTTTAAATTTTTGTGATTCAGGCTTTTAGAATGGTTTTATTTGAGTTTTTTGGCTGTGTTATAGCAAATGTATTACTGTTTTAGTGTGTCGTGTTTACCACGTCTGGGCATGAGTCATCACAATGGAATGCAGGGCATCAACCAAAAGGCATGCAGCTTTCCTCTATACTTCTTGCTGATTGGCTGTTGGGATTTAACTTGATTAACACCCGCACAGAGCATTTCCACCTGCACAGAGCATTTCTTGCTGATTGGCTGTTGGGATTTAACTTGATTAACACCTGCACAGAGCATTTCCATACTGACAGTATGTCTTTATTCAAGTGTTTTGGTAGGTATTTCAAGCTTTTCTGCTCCAGGAATGGAATGCGGGGCATGAACGTTTTTTATTTTATTTTGAAAATCAACAGTTTGCATTATGCAATTAAAAATCCTAACCAATAAAGTAGGGAATAGCTATCCAACTGTTGTTTTAGTTGTATGTTACTTCATATTATAGTTATATCAATGTAATTTACTAAATCATTGTTTTCCCTTGTGTTTCTCATTCTTTCCCTGCCATGTGGTAAAATGTGGTGAACCCATCGCTGTATTTGCTCCAAAGCAAATATTGGCCTTTCTAGTTTATGTTGTCCTTTTATTGTTATCCTTGAAGAAAGAAATGGCTTAAGGCAATAGATCTCTTATGTTATGGACAGATTTCTGTCCTTTGTAATTTCTATTTTGCTTGGACAATCATATTACATATGGGAAGATGCCTACATCATAGTACATACATGTACCAAAGTGAAACATTGTAATAAGATGCATGCTTCTATACTATCTTGTAATGCTGCCTATTATAAAACTATAGTATGATGATATTGTGACAATTCTAACTAAGATGTATGTAAAATTATGGTGACTGTATTTTGATATCACTTCATAGCTAGACCTCACAGATTTGAGCATATAGGTCATTGATGTGGTGTGAAGTTATTTATTGTTATGCATGTGAATGTATCTTGTTGTTACAGTGCTTGCATATCAACATTGAATGTGATTTGTGTAATACCCCCGGTACTGTATTACATATGAGCTTGTGGAAAACAAATCATACGCCAGCTTGTATGTACTTGTACTTAATTCTTGTCTGAAGCCATTTTCCTTTTATCAGGTAAAGATTTTTTATGAACTGTATTTTTTTGGCCTTAGTCTCATCACTTTCTTTACATACTAGTACAATGTATATACTAGTACCTACTTTGTGTTGCATACTGGGGCACATAAGGGCACAACACATGACTTTTGTATTGTACGGACCTTGAAAACCAGAACCTTAAGATTCTGAGTTAACTGCTATTACCCCAACTAGCCTTTACCAGGCTTCGTGAGGCGGCTGGAAAGAGTAGAAATTGGCCAAATAGAGAAACAACATGCCGAGGGAGTTGGTCTGCGAGTGGGACAATCTGTACTCTCCAGCAGACCAACTGCCCAGCATGTTGTCTCTCTTTTTGACTGATTTCTACTCTTTCCAGCCGCTCCCGAAGCCTGGTAGAGGCTAGGGTGTACTTTGGTAGAGGCTATCCCAACCACAAGACCGGCCTTTACTTCACCTTCTATCTTCCACATGCACCCCCCTCCCCCCACACACCTTCTTAATTGCTCTTTAATAGTCCCCTTTGTTGGTGCAAAGAAATTGCATAGCTTAACCCTGTCAGAAGGTTCAAAGTGACACAGTTCAAAGATACAGTAAATACGTGGGTCCAAGGTTATCAGGAATAGTCCTGGGGTGTGACATAGCTAAGCAACCACACAACAAGAGAAGTAACACAAGCACAAGTTTATTAAAAAAAACACATGCAGTTTCCCCAACACCCATTCACCTCTACATACATGAACTAAACACTACACTACAGCATTTATAAACTGGACGGATTTCAAAGGGCCTCTTTCATTCAAGTACGTGGACAAATACTTACAGAGCAAATTCACTAAAGTAAATACCAGCTAGTATCTTTACTTCGAGCTATATTGGAACAAAGTCTGGACTGTCCCAGCAATATATAACACTTCTGTTTGCACTACAAACACCTATTAACTACATATTATATTACATCATGCACAATAGGTATGTATATATAGTAATAACAATAAGGTTCAATTCTGAATTGAACCTTATTAGTGATAATATATCTTATAGTTGTCTATATTATTAGTAATACTAATAGTAATCTTAATTCATGAGATATTCCTATAAGCAAGGAGCTTTTATTTGAAGCTCCTTGCCACAATGGGACACTGGATTCCCTTAAGACAGTTTCCATTGTATTAGGATGTATAGTAAGGCCTGATTATGTAATAAGAGTTTGTAAATAACATTTTAAACGTTTGCCAACATTTGTCAGGTAAACAGTTTAGACATGCTGTAACAGTAAACACTGAATTGAAAGCCCCTGTTGGCTATTTAGAAACAATTGTCCCTCATAACACAGTATCATGTTTGGTAATAGAATAAAAGAAGTACCAATTATAAAGTTCTTAGTACATGGCTGTCTTGTGTAGCCTGGTTACCACTTGAACCAGTATTATAACTCCCTAGTCCTACATCCTCTCCGCAAATCCTCTATTTGCGGAGAGGATGTAGGACTCGAGAGCTATAATAGGTTTTGTAACCAGGCTAGTCTTTTGAGAGAAGACTAGTAGTAAACTTCTGGCAGGGTTCTCAGTTTGTTGGTACAGCGTTGGACACTGGTTTTTTTACTGTTGTGATGTTGTAGCTAGTTGACTCCACTTCTTGTATGGCAAGTAAAGCATTTGGTGTGTGTTTCTCTGGGCAGTCGAAGTAAAAGTTCGGCAGTCATCTTCAGGTCACTGCTATCATGAATGGTCCAGGAAACCTTTGAGAGAGGAAAAACATGTAGATTATTAACTACGCGGAACTGCAGACTAGTTCATGGTCATGTATAACAAGATTGAGAGAGAACTCAACGCTTAATTTTAACGTACTGACACCACACTGCGCCAAAAAGCAACTACTCAAGCAACTGGATATGATTTTGGAAACGGTAAGACATTTCAGGCAGCATCCACTAGCTTTCGTCAGTGACTGAGAGACCAGAGGAGAAATGCAGGTTTATAAGCACCATATTACCTGGCTTATAAGTATTGTATTACCTGGATGTCTAACCTTCATCGACGTGACACCACATTGGTTGATCTGTTACATGTGTTCTAATCTCCAAGCAGATGTAGGGTTCAGCTCGGTGTTTTAGGTGCATGCGTTTCTTAAACATTTTCTTCGTCTCTCGTCCGCGTAGACCAGTAGAAATGCACACAGAAAATACTTCAAAAACACGCGTAAAACATTGAGCCGAATCCACATCTGCTTGGAGATGTATTCAGTTTGAGTTTGGGGGCCGGAAATCAAACAGGTGGTTGGACAAAGAAGATGGCGATTCAATGGACTAAGTCTGACTTACTCTAAGCAATTGTTGGTGTTGTATTACTAGTATTTCCCCTAGTTCAACCACTTAGCCTCTACCAGGCACTGCGGAACGCTGGAAAAATAGTGGGTCACGAATTGGATCTTCTCTGGCCGGCTACCTCCCCTGGTATATTATTCCTTTATTTCGGCCAATTTCTACTATTTTTCCAGCGACCGCTGTGCCTGGTAGAGGCTACAACCACTTACTTAACACGCCACTGGGACTAGTACCTGTTCTTAGCTTTAACTATGCATCCCATCTATATTACATTCCCAGCTGCTGCCCCCGTATCATGGCATATGGCTATTGTCCAACAATGCGCTAAACCAACAATGTCTTACAAGAGGGGTTACAGATGTACTAAAAATAAAACTACGCGCCCAGAACAAAAACGTTCTGAACGTGAAGTCTTGATGTTTTAAGGACAGGCGAATTGTTCTGGCTTGCAAGCCCGGTATTTGCGCTACATGGACCCTAACAGCCTGGGTTTCCGTTACCCAGTAGGTTTCTCATGGGTGAACGCAAGTGAAAGGGTCTGTATGTGGGTAGACAGAGAACGCGACACCCAACCCCTCACCCCACCCTCAGCTACTGTACCCGTCTCCTTGGCAACGTGTACAAATTTAGATCGGGCATGTAGCATTGTCAATAGGAACTACACATGTATAATGAGTTCGCAGTCCTTTTATATTAGATCTTTTTTTTATATTATATATAGCGGTGCTATACTAACAATGACATCGCAATTTGCCGTAAAGCTTGTGTAAATTTGGCCTTACATGACGAACTTGACTTTGTATATGTAAGAACTCTTTCTTCGAAAAAATAGCTTCTGGAATGAACCGCGATTTATATGCGGTCGAGATCTTCTAGATTGTTCAGTAAGGGTTGAATTATATAACGTATTCATAAAACCTATCTGCAATCAACTGTATAGTTCTGGACAGAAATGCCACGGTATTTTGTAAGAACAGCGTTAACTCTAATATATTTAAAAGATACAAAGATTTATAACTGTTTGGCTGTGCTACTACATGAATCATACTGAGACAGCACGTATACACCAGATATAGTACTAGTATTTTGTAGCAACAACGTTAACTCTAATATATTTAAAAGATTTATAACTGTTTGACTGTGCTACTACATGAGTCATATAGAGAAAGCACGTCTACACATAGCGATACGTGATAACTAGCACAAATTAAGTGTGGCGCCGGCACCAAACAAGATTACGCCTGGTTATGTGTCCCTGACAACGGAACGTAGGAACCAAACATGGAAGTTTCAATAAAACAATGGGCTGATTGTTGGTTAGCCTCCACCAGGCCTTTCAACGGGAACATGGATCGTAGAATTCGGCAAAAAAAGAGTAAAATTGGCCAAGGGAGTCCGGCCACGGGAAGGTAGTTTCTTTCCCTCCGCGCCAGTCAAACCTACAAGGCGGCCAAACTCCCCTGGCAAATATTTTCCTATATATAGCCAGCGTAGTTAGTCTGGTAGAGATTAATACTTACATATATACGCAAAAGTGTGGCGATTCTGGGGGGTTATTGGCCGCCAACTGTGGTCTTCAGAAGGTTTTTGACTCCCTTGAAGTGGAAATAATGCTGGGAATGGTTGTCCCTGAAAGTAGAATATTTGGAAATGTTAGTAAAGGAATTTACTAGCAGATGCAGGATCTAGCCGTTGGTCTCAGTGTTCTAAAAAGACGTCTGAAATGTCGCAAAACACACACACACACACACACACACACACACACACACACACACACAAACACACACACACGCACACACACAAACACACACACACACACACAAACAAACAAACGCAGGCACACACAGAGACACACGCACGTAAAACACTTAATCTGAGTCGAACCTAACATCTTCTTGGAGACTTATCTAAGGACTGTAACAGAGATGTCGTTACAGCTTATGTCGTTACACTTCCGAGGTTTTGGTTTTGTGTTTCCGCACGCTCTAGATACACTGCATCACGGTCTAACAAGCTAAGGTAGGCTGGAACACAGGTCTTGCAATTGCATCTCCAAGAATTCTAGGAATCAGTCTGAATTGCAAATACTGATCGCCAACTGAAGCATTAAAACTACAATGAAAACATAGATTCAAGGGCAGCAATACATTCTATCTAAAGCTTGCCAACCCAATACTCTGTATCGGTATAGTCGGTATAACCGCCCTTCGGCGTAACACATCAGCTTCGCAGGCACGCGGCGCGGCGGCAGCTGGCTACATTACACCGATTAACTTGTTACACCTAAGCATTGAACATCTACATGTAAGTCCAAACATTGTTTAACGCTGCCTAATGGCAATGCCCCTTACTGTACTTGGTGACAGCGAGTTCCACTTTGCGATAGTTCTAGCAATGAACACCTCAATCCTTGGTTGATAACTCTGGTACTTGAAGGCTTGACTATTTCTTGTTCTTTTCTGAGCTGAGATTGGTGTAAAGCTGTTGTATGTACCTTAGCGCGTTGTATGGCGGGATGAGCGGCTTGTACTTGGTGACTGCGTGGCTGGTTTTGATGCTGTCCACCACGAAGTTCTCCTCCATCCTGACCAGCGTGGCCGGAGTCGGGGTCCGTAAGGAGCGGCCGCGGGTCGACAGTTTGTTCATGTTACGGCTGGGCGGCGTCTCCCACAACTCCTACAGGGGGGAACAGTACAGTCTGCATCAGTTTATCTGCAGTATACGTATTGTCCCATTCTACAACAGTATCTGCAGTATGTATTGTCCCATCCTGTATCAGTATCTGCAGTATATGTATTGTCCCAGACTCCCAGTAAGTTACATAGCCTCTACCAGGAACCGCGGATTGCTGGAAAAACAGGAGAAATTGGCCAAAATAAAGGGAATACTATACCAGGGGAGTTGATCTGTCCAAGAGGGTACACTTTGCGACTACGTGGGTCACTAATTGTACTGAAGTTCGGCGGTCATGCTACAGTCACATTTCCAAACCGATGCCCCACCGGGTAGTTTTCTGGCTATTTGCATGCAATGTTTGGCCTAGCGTACCGCTTTCCTAGCTATAGCCCACGTTAGGATCTGTTGAAGACTGAATGTACCACACGCCCAAAGTGATGGCATGTTTCCAGAATTAGAATGACTTCAATCGGCAAGACTGGGGAAACAATTAGGATTATGAACGCGTGCGGGTAGATATCCTATGTAGCACCAACCCCTCATCCCTACCATCTCACTTTAAGACCTTTAAGTCTTCTCTGTAAAGAAAATACGACTAGACGCGTGCGCCTCCAGGTGTTAACTGTCGATAGCGTAACGCTTGTTACCATGCATAAAATAAGCTAGACCAAAACCGTTTCCTAAGTAACGAAGCTACTATCCTTTGAATTCGCTACTGGCGTTACTCAAAAATGCAACGCATGACAACCGGAACATAGCGGTTCACTGTAGGCGTTTAATCGCCGATGACATTAGTTCTAGCGGAAATTCGTTAGGCCATACTGACTTAATTTTATAGATGACATCCTCTGCAGACCTCCAAAGGAATAAAAAGTTCTGGCCAATAATAAACATGTTTCTAAAGCGGCACAGGGATACAAAGCTGGTGTTGTGAATTTGCGGTAGTACTCGTACATAGCGACGTTTACAGAACAGAGAACAGGCGAAAATCAATGCGCGCGCGGATGTCATCCATAAAATTAAATCAGTGTGGCCTTATAACAAAATCCTTGACACAAATTTCTCTTGGTAGGGGTCAGGTGGATTGCTAAAGCTTGTTTATCAAAACACGAACATTGTTGACAGAACGCGGTCACACAATCTCCAACCTTTGTCTTTAAAGGGTTAAGATTCCGGTTAAAGAAGGGACCGATGGAAAAAGGGGGACAACATATGAGGTTGATGTTATCCTTTGTCCGGTGTTTGTTGGTCCCGTGTTTTGCCCACAGCGTTTGGCTGGGTGAATGGCCGGGGATCACACGGGGAGGGCATCGGTTACTGCGCGGCATGTTTACGGTAGCCTCTACCAGGCCTTTCTACGGGAGTACGGATCGTAGAATTCGGCAAAAAAGAGAGAAAAATTGGCCAAGGGAGTCCGGCCGCGGGGAGGTAGTTTCTTTCCCTCCGAAGGCCAGTCAAACCTACAAGGCGGCCAAACTCCCCTGGCAGATATTCTCCTGTATATAACCAGCGTAGGTAGTCTGGTAGAGGCTATGTTTACGGGTACACAGCGTGCCTTGCCCCGTATTGTTCGCCCACGCACCCCCGGACCCAACTTGCGGAAAAAACAGCTTCTCAGTTACATTCTCACTGACGCCTGGCCTTGTAGTTAATATCAAATTGGTGAAAGATAGACCCCTTAAAGAAGTGGGTTAAAACACCTTTTATTGACACGACAAATACTTTGCTCGCTACATAACTTCCTAATAACCGATCGATGTACACCCTACATTATATTCAAACATTGAGTCAGGGTAGCATCGATTAGTTGGTCAAAACGTTAACCATTTCATCCTTAACAGAAAATGTATCTGTTTTTTTGTGGGCTTGGGGCATCCATGGAAGCCTAGTGTTTGGACAGTATATTTACACATCGAAAATGTTATGATCACCAACTTCAGCGAGCACATATACATATACTCGTATTTGATAAATTATATATTTACTCGTATTTAGTAAATGATATACATACTCGTATTTGATAAATGATATACATACTCGTTGTTGATGAATGATATATATATATATTGGTATAAATAGCTAAGTTTTCTGATAAGAAAATGCCTTATGTGCCAAGAGACCTATTAGTTAAGACTATTCAGCGACAGACAAACGTTGCTTTTTTTTTCGAAAATAGTTTCATCAGGTTGGTAGAGTATAGGATATAGAGGTTTTCTTTTACACAACCAATATTGTCTCTTACCTCTCTTACGTTTCGGTGTCTGTCAGACACCTTCCTTGGAGCTTCTGACCGGAGTTCTGCTTCTTGCCAGTCAGAAGCTCCAAGGAAGGTGTCTGATAGACACCGAAACGTAAGAGAGGTAAGAGACAATATTGGTTGTGTAAAAGAAAACCTCATTATCAGATAAACGTTTTGTTTTTCTTTTTTTAAAGTTTTTGTTCTTTTTTCTGTTTACCTTGTTTGTGAGCGTCCTCTCCAGCGTGTCCTTGACAGTGGGGCTGCGGAAGTAGGCTACGGCGTGCTTGTCTTGCAGGGCGTTGTAGGGCCGGATGATGGACGTGCGCTTCGGACGGCAGAACCGAGAGTTCTGCATCGTGTCCGTACGGATACTGTCGTTCACGAAAGACTGGAAGGAAAAATCAACAACAAAAAAAAAACTATTACTCAAGAAATTTGACATGTGTGGTCGTGTGGCCTAACGGCAGAGTGCTCAACTAGGAACCAAGAGGTTCGGACGGCAGAACCGAGAGTTCTGCATCGTGTCGGTCCGGATACTGTCGTTTACGAACGACTGGAGAAAAACACAAAGAAAATGTTACTCGAGCTGCTAGAAATATTTTTTTCTATTCCAACATTTTATGACTAAACATGGTGACGACACACTCAATTTTTTCAACTTTTTTTATGCCGCCACCAACGCAGATGACAAATACAGAACAATACTCATTTTCACGTGAGGAAAGTCGTGTAAAGTGTCTTTTCCAAGGGCACAAGATCGGTGGCATGGCAGGACTCGAACCCGGGACCTCTTGGTTCCGAGTCCAGCACTCTGCGGCTCTGCGGTTACGCCACACGACCACACGAAAGATTTTGAAAAAAGACAGAAGTCTCAAGTAGCATCTACTACTTTTCGTCGGCTACTGAGAAAAAAGATTATATCTCTATAACCCTTTTATATCTGGACGCTTTGCTCATAATGTGACCTTTGATTACTGTTTGACTGTTTGTGCGGAACATTAACGTGAGACAGGCGTATTGGAAATCGAAGAGGTGTCTTATCTATGGTTTCTGGTTTTTATCTGATTTTCTCGCCTCTGCAAAGAGTAAATGAACCGACGAACAAACAAACGGCAGTAAACAGTATCAGGATTGTTGCTAGGTCGTGTTCTGGGTGAGAAGAGTCATTTCTAGATCTTTCACCTTCGCTGAAATATCTGTATCTGTATCTTCGGTGTAACACACCAGCTTCGCAGACACACGGCGCGGCGGCAGCTGGTTACATTACACCGAACGAGACATACTAGTACATAACTCGTGCGTTTTAGTTTTCTGTCTTCTTGAGTTCACACAGATGAGGAATGTACTTTGTAAAATGATGACCGATTGTCGTTGATTTGGAACTAAATTTTGGGACACATATCTCGGATGAAAAATATGCTGAACATGTGCAATATTTTGAGAGGTAACAATACTTTCTAGGAATGCGCAAGGGACGCGATCGTATTTTGTCATGGACAATACGATCCAAGCGGTTGTCAATACACTTTCACAGTCGAATGAACATTCGCAAGTCAAGAAGTACTTTGCTAGTGACAGTACTAACACTGGTGTCCGTCGATCAAACTTTGAACAAGCAACTACATTTAAAGCCACACTATATTGACAGAGTGTTTACATCGATATTTCCGAAGTTTGTCAGAATTTTGTTCCTTTGTTCCACCATTGCAAAATCTTGCTCCTTTGCAACATTTGCACAAAAAGTTGAGGATGCCATCTCTAGCTCAAAAGCACGCTAAAAAACTAACCAAAACCGTGCTTTAAAGTTCAAGTCAAAATCTGTGCATGTGACAGGTGGAAAGAAGGCTAACATTTTGTCATCAAATCCCAGTCACTCTACTTCCTGTTTATGTGCTGGCATGTGTGCTCGCCCACCTAACAACGGCACATTTCTGCAATACAATACCACCCCAAACTCCGCCAAACAATTTTTTTCCCATCTGCATCACCCAAAAGTGTTTCGACTACATCTAGACTGATTGCGAAGAGTAGTTTTAAGTAGAAATAGTCTGATCTTACCTCTTCTAGGTTGTGCTGAACAGTGATAGGCGGCAATGGGTGGATGTCGCCGATCTTGTCCTTGTGTTTCAGCGGACAGGACCGGACCATGAAGGTGTATTTCTTCGCCAGAGGACTCATGAGGACCCTGCCCTCCAGAGTCATGGACGACAGGCTCTTATTGCTGATCCCAGGATGTGCCGATGCCATGGTGAGGCAGAAAAAACGCGAGGTGAAGACCGAAGAGTTCTAAATGAATGTCCCGTTCCCGCTATGACCTGAGCCGGCGTCTGTACTGCTGTGTGTTACCCGCGCCTTCGCAACCGCTGCTAAATGAACCGGCCTGCTGCAACAGTATCCCTCCGTTGCGACGCGCGATCGTGTCACGAGTGGGCGACTCTGTTTAGGCTGCGCCACCAGATAACGTCCCGAACAAAGGACGCCGGACCCTCGATACGACCTTCGCGACCACAGGCTTCGAGGGGGTTTGGTTTACGTTTATCTTTTCACAATGTAAACTTCTGTATACAACAATCCCCCCTACCTAAACATTACATTAGCGCAACTTTTCATTTTCGGACGCGCTGCGTTTTATAACTTTTAATAAAATTACGCCACCTACTTAATGGGACAGTCACAGGGGGTCTTCGAAAACAATGTTCCTTTAAATCGAGACAGTACTCACTACATTAAGGCTCAAAAGAAGCAATTTTGTCTGAGGCTACACGATACGAACACCTGTTATGCTGATCTCCCCTCTCATTGGCCAGAAGTCCGAACTCATTTGCATAAGAACAAGATGGCCACCCGATCCTTCTCTCACCATGGACCAGCTGAAGTGTAGTAAGCTGTCCGTTTGTTTAGAGTATCAATATAAAAGCTGTCTTTGTTTACCCGCGGCCCAGGTCTAGGCGTGGTGGGCCGTATTTGTTGACACGACAACACCAACCAACTCTTGAACATGAAGCCTGGTGCTGCCTTCGTTGCCAATGCACAGTAGTCTCCACCAATTATGTAACATGCTTTCTTGAGATGCAGTAAAAACATCTTTCTAGAACCGTTAGTTTTTAAATTTTCAAGATGGTGAAGTACATAGACGCGCCCTTCGGCAGGTACCTGTATGTCACACCTCCACCTGCTTACAGGTAAGTGGCTCTCACCTGCTTAAAATACCACCATAATTGAAACGTCTACCTGTGCAAACACCTCGACGTACCCAGTCACCCTGTCAACCTTCTGAAATATATGTTCATTGCCGCACGTCGGGTTTTGTAGCACGTACAAAGTGAGTCTGTAAATCATATGCATGTGAGAGGTGATTTTCAAGGTGCATTTTATGGTCCACAACTATTTACGAGAAAGTGTTTGGTAGTAGTGGTGTTAGCGTTATTTTGAACTTGCAGTGTTTGTAGTTTCGCAGTAATATTTGCATTGTTTATCTAGTATTGTTGCACCTTGTACTATGCTGGTTTTATATCTTTCAACTGCAAGCTGCAGATTAAGAATTACTAGTATCAGGTTGAAGTTAAAGATAGAAAAAAAATCCCGTCGCTAGACTGTCCCGCGACAGAGAAAAGATGGAAAGAAAGGTCATGACATGGTTCCGAGTCGTTTAGTCCGCGGCAGCACGTCCATTGTCCGACACCAGGGCCGTGTTACAGTCAAGTGCAACCTACAACGGGAAACACTGTCACTGCGGGCTAACATTTGCAATTGCGGAACCAATACAGAAATCAGAACAAGCACGTCTGTGTAGCCTCCGTAGCAGGCTTGTAGAACTGGGGGTTTGGTGGTCTTCGGCTGTTTTCTGATTAGCCCAGTTCTAAAACGTGGGTAATTCAACCAGGCCGGCTATGTTGTCTATATGCAATCAGAAAATAGCACATAAAAGCTCCCAAAGACCCTGAAGACCCCCCCCCCCAAATCCCCCAGTTTTGGCATGCTATGGAGGCTAACGTCTGGGCACTTTCACGCTTTGGACGGCTAACACAAAGGGCTTGCAGCTCTGACCCCCTTTTTTACACTAAGAAGTTAGCTGCGTACATCTGTTTTAATGTTATGAGTAAACAGTGCTCTATTGTGCATTTTAATGCTCAAAATAGTCACTAATGATGATCTGGAGATAACACAGAATAGGCCAGTGATAGATAATTAGACGGGAATGAATTTTATGGTTTTTAAAAGTAAAGTTAAAAATACTTTACGTTGTTTTCTTTGAGACTGCAATAACAACGCTTGTTATGGTAACAAAAGTCAGACTTTGAACTAGGAAAAGTCACAACCTCTTTCAACACATCAGCTACGAATTAAACAAACCACTAGTGACGGTACACTGTTCCTATTCCTAACATTTACCCAAGAAAAACAAGTTAGTATCAATTGTTGAAAGTTTTATTCTTGAACTCGATGCTATAATGGCTACCAGTTAAAAGCTCAGTGTTCAATGCTCAGTGTTTACTGACCAAATACCGTAACAGTGGCCTCGCGATCGATCAAAACATCACGTTTTGTCACAGTCACAGTCACAGCTGTGACAAGCCTCCAAGCATAGGTTTGGGGTTTGGCTTATTTTTTGGCGTGTTTTTAGGCTTTTTTTATCGGGGTTTCTTTGTTGAACTGGAATTGTTTTACGCCAACACAAAATAAATTCCAGTGCAAAAAAGAAACCCCGATAAAAAGCCGTAAATACACGCTAAAAATAAGCCAAAACCCAAACCTCTGCTTGGAGAGTAGCTGTGACAACACTTTTGTTTGAGTACAATGAACGTAACCATTATTCTCAAAATATAGTTAGCCCCACGCAGTGTAGACTGTACCATTCATGTTTGGTAGCGAGACAGGCATGTAGATCATTCTTCAAACTTTCTAGCAATTCTATCGGTTGAAACTAAACGAGTTAGACCAAGTGCATACAACTAACGGACGCCTTTCAATGGCACTTGAAGTTAGTTCGCAGCCGCTGCAATATTGGCTCCGGTAACACTTCATGTATGAAGTCTATAGTCCTGTTTACTCAATGCGATTACGCGACAAAATTCTCCAAACCACGCCGATACATTTTTTTTATATTCCAACATGTAATCACAAGACGTGGTGACGGCAAGCTCAAGTTTTTTCATATATTAACAGCATTAAGTATTTTCTTCGTCTTTGCAAGGACGTGCCTGCCGGTAGTCTTCAAGCAGACGCCCTCTTGTGTCAAATAGAGTTAGAAGCTACAGGTACCAAGTGTTGGGCGTCTGGTATACGCAACAGTCTAGAGAAATGCGGTTATTCTTTCGTCTGGCAAAACGTTCAATCAATCGGCTCAAATACGCCCCAAATTATCTCAGCAATTTGTCAGCGTTTAAAAGATATTCATTTCCAAACATTCCTTTCCGAAATCCACAACGATAATAGAGTTGCTAATTCAAAAAATAAACTTCGAACATACAGATTATTAAAACACTCATATAACGAAGAAGATTATCTTAAGATCGCAAATGTACGTCACAGATCTGCCATTACTAAACTAAGAATCAGTTGTCACAATTTGCGAATTGAATCAGGAAGACATAACCGCACTCCTCTAGAGCAAAGAATCTGCCAATATTGTAGTTTAGGTAAAGTAGAAGACGAGGTACATTTTATTGTGGATTGTTCCATGTATGGCAGCGAAAGAAACGTTCTTTTCGATTTTGTGTCAAGCAAATACTCCCAATTTAAGTATTTGAATAGTATAGAGAAATTTATATTCCTTGTAGTCTTTAACAAACCAGCTTTAACTACTCATACTGCCAACTACATTTATAAGATTACCAGAAAGCGAGAGGAAGTTGAACGTACTTGTGTACTATAGCCGTTTTATTATCAACATTGATGATGTACTTTGTCTATATGTGACCTGTCTTTAGCCCAGTGGGGCAAAATGTACAATAAAGGTCTTCATTCATTCATTCAATATAAGTTGTCAGCGGAGGAAATTTTTTTTTTTTATTTATTCCGAAACATGTAATCACAAGACGTAACATCCGGTCATGAATTTAAGCTATCAGAGCAAATTTCTTGTGGCCTTAGGCTTGCGTTTTTACCATCGATCTTGTAGAGGATGAAAATTACTGCGACGACTCAATGTT